TGGCAACAAAATAAAGGCAGTAATAAGAATTCCACCAACAAAAAGCCCAGGTCTTGGATTCATTGCTGAATTCTACCAGAACTTCAGGGAAGACCTAATACAAATATTCCTCAAAATCTTCAATAAAACTGAAAGGAAAGGATACTGCCAAACTTATCTCTGAAAGCCTGCTATCAAAACTAGACAAGGGCTTAACAAAAAAGGAAAATTACAGGCCAATCTCTTTAATGAACATACATGCAAGATACTGGCAAACAAAATGCAAAAAAATCATTAAAAAGATCACTCATCATAAACGTAAGTTGACAATGCAAGGATGGTCCAACATACATAAATCAAAAATGTAATATACCAGATAAAAAGTAGAAATGGACAGACATAGTAGTATATGCCTATAATCCTAGCATTTAGGAGGCTAAAGCAGAAGAAACACTGTGAGTTCAAGGCCAGCCTGAGTCATAATTATAAGACTCTGTCTCCAAAACAACAACAAAATGCAGCAAGAATAAAAATCACAAGATCATCTCAACATAAAAATTTTTTTGGAAAATACAACATCCAGCTAGATGTGGTAGCGCATATGCACCTGTAATCCCAGCACTGGGAAGGCTGAGGCTGAGGATCTTTGCAAGTTCGAGACAAGCCTGGGCTACAAAGTGAGCTCAAGGCCAGCCTGAGCTGCACAGCGAGACCCTGTCTCAAAAAGACAAAAAAATAAAAATTAATGAAACAGAAAGCTAATATCCACTCATGATAAAAACCCTTTAAAAATTAGTTTTAGAATAACCTTATCTATAACTGATAAAAGTCATCTGTAACAAAAACACTGCCAACATCACACTAAATGGGAAAAACTGAAAACATTTTCTCAAAAATTAGATACAAGAGTAGTCACCTTTTTTTTTTAAAGAATACAAAATGTTAAGGGGCCCGGAAGATGGCTCAGTAGAATAAGCGCCTGCCTGGCAAGCGCAAGGGCCTGAGTTCAATGCCGGGTTCCACAAAAAAATAAATAAATAAAAATTAAAAACAAAAAAATAAGAATACAAAATGTTGATAGAATAAAACAGCATTAGAAACGATACAAAATTTCACTAAACAAAGTAATAGGAATTCAACAATGGTTGCTGTATTGCATGATGCTATCTTCAAATTACTCATTTAGGTTACCAGATATAAAAGTGCAAGATTCGTATAAAAACAAAACAATAACAAAAAAATTATAAATTATAAAGAAAAAACAAAAAGAAAACAATTTTAATCACTCCTGAGCAGGACAGTACGTAACTCTTTAAGCTAGACCACCCAAGAAGGACAGGCAAGCAAGAAGCTATCCTTATTTGCAGATGGCAGGTTCCTTCACACAGAAGACCTGCAAAAGCACACTCAAAACCTTCTAAAACTAATAAACTCAGCAAGGTGGCAGCACACAAAGTTGACACACAAAGCCAACAGCATTCCTGCAAGAATAAATCCACCAAGAATGAAATTAAGGAAATTCCTTTACCATAGTTTCAGGACATTAACACTCAGGAATTAACATAACCAAAGAAGTGAAAGACATGTGCAATGAAAACTACAGTATCTTGAAAAACAGATCAAGTAAGACGTCAGAAAATGGAATGATATTCCCTTTTCGTGGGCAGACAGAAACAACGTTGTCAAAATAGAACTATTTCCAAAACTGATACAAAGACTTGTACAATCTCAATCAAATTAGCAACACATTCCTCACAGAATTAGAAGAAACAATCCAAAACTTTTACAGAAACAAAAGAGACCCAAAATAATAAAAAGCAATCTTGGGCAACAAAAGCGAATTGTCACAATCCTAGATTCCAAGTTACAGTACAAAGCTACAGTGATAAACAACAACCACAATTAAAAACAGCATGGTTCTGGCACAAATACAGAAATCCTGGTCAACAGAACACAGGATATGGAAACAACCCCAGGCACACTCAGCCATCTGATCTTTGATAAAGGGGCCAAAAACATACACTGAAGGATAAGCTCTTTAATAAATGGTGCTAGGAAAACTGGCTATCCACATGCAGATTAAATCTAGACACATCTCTCTGTACCAAAATAAAATCAAATTGCATCAAAGATCTAGATATTAAAACAGCAACACAATCTGCTAGAAGATATGTAAAACTTCTGAAAACATAAGCATAGACAAAGACTTTCTCAGTAGAACCCCAACTGCACAAAAAATAACACCAAGAATCAACAGATGGAATTTTTCTTTTCAAATTTTTAAAAAAGCTTCTATACAAAAAAGGAAACAACCATAGAATGAAACACCAGAATGGAAAAAATATTTTGTCAGCTACTCTGTGGACAGAGGAGTAATATCTAGAATATATAAAGAATTCAAACAAATAAGACTCCCAAAAATCTTTTTAAAAAATCAAAAAATGAACATTTGAACTAAAGAGATAGTTCTCAAAAGAAGTACAAATGACCAGTAAGTGTACAGAAAACGTCCAGCACCTCTGATGTAGAGAAACGCAAATCAAAACCAAGATTCCATCTTATTCCAGAAAGAATAGCTATTGTGAGAAAGTAAAAAAACAGCAACATGCATAGGAAAGGAGAACAGCAACCCAAGGAGGAACAGCAACACAAGAAAGGAGAGAGATATAGCTACGTTCTCTTAGTTCACTGAGAATAAAAGTTCGTACTATCATTTAGACAAGATATCATATCTGCATCTTGTCCTCTGAATAACTACTACGAAGACAACAATATAAAATGTATTAATTATTGTAAACTCCTACTAATCTGTTTTGAAACTTTTTCATTGCTATTTTATCTTTTTTGCTCATTAAAATGAATACAAATTGTAAAAAAGAAGCAAATGTCAGGCAAGGTTGTGGAAAGTCTCAAAAAATAAAAATAGAAAAAATAAATAAACAAATAAATAAATAAATACAGAAATTTCATTCAAGCCACCTGTCTCTCTCCTGGAGATCTTCCCACAGGAGCTAATGGTGCTGTATCACAGTGATAGATGCACACCTGTGCTTACAGCGCAACCCACTGTAGCTAAAGCCGGGCAATGGTCTGTGTCTATCAAAAGACTACACAGAACACTTGGCCTGGGTGGCATACATACACAATGAAGCACTCCTCAGCCGTAAGAAGTGTAAATCTGAGTCACTTGTAAGAAAGTAAGATGTACCTTGAGATCATGTCAAGTGTAATAACTCAGCCACTGTTTAATACTGCACACTTTCTCTTATATATTTGAGAACCCAAAGTACAAATAAATTCAAGATCAAAATAAAAGAAGCAGGAAACAGGAGGTAGGCCAACAGGAGGTAGGCCTTTCTCAGATATGAAGAGGCTCTAGGGATGGAGAACAGAAGGGTAAATGAAAAGGACTGACGCCATGTGTACGTGTATGAACTGTTCACAAGGAATGTATTCATTATGTACCACAGACAAGTACTAATTTTTAAAAATTATGTAAAAAAGAAAGTGAGGTTTAGAGACACTAAGAACTGGTAAGGAAAAAGTAAGCAGTTGACTGGCAGATTTGAATTTGATAAGTATTTGCTAAGTATATATGAACTTCAGAACCATGCTAGGTTCAAGGACTTAAGTTACACATCAGTGTCTCTTTTTAAAAAACTCCTAAACTAGTGGGGAAAAAATCCTCACAGATCATTTTAATGCAAAATATACCATTATAATTTTATACTTTCTTATAACCATAAAACTTTCACAGAACCAGATGTGGTGCACACCTGTAACCCCAGCACGCAGGAGGCTATGGCAGGAGGATCATTGCTAGTTAGAGACCAGCCTGGGCTACAAAGTGAACTCTAGGCCAGCCTGAACTGCGTGGCTAGATCCTGCCTCAGAAAAAAGTGATAGGTTAAGGCCCTAGTATGAATTGCTGAATTATTATGGTGGTCATCCAATATGGCTGAAACCCTTAAAACAACAGCTCATCTTCCCAGAGACCACCTCCCCCTTCTTCTCCAACTCAGATCAGGATGCAGTTTCCTCTCACCCTTCCTGCCACCTCAGGGAAGGCCCCAGTCAGCTCCTCAAGTATATCTAAACTTCCTCCTCAAGCCCCACCCCTGGTAAAAGGCCATAAAAGCCTGAGCCTCCCTTTGCTCCAATCCAGGGAATTCCTTATCTTCCCAAATTCTCTCTGTGTCCTCTAAGATAATGAAGTCACTTTCCCTTTATAATAAAGCCCTTTCCCTTTTCCTTCTTAGTGTTTCTCTGCTGCAACACCATTAAAGCCTATCAAAAAGTACAACTTCGCTGGGGAAATGGCTCAGGGGCATAAGTGCCTGCCTAGCAAGCACAAGGTCCTGAGTTTGATTCCTGATACCAAAAAAAAGAAAGAAAGAAAACTTTCACAGTGCCCAAAGCACCTTTCATATTCTTATTTGATTTCTTCAAAATACATAGTTCTTTGTTCAGAGTAACAAGTCTTGGATAAAGCTAGGAATTACAACACTATTCACACTATACAATAATATTATCTGCCAAAAATAAATCAGTACCAACTATTGTTATTAAAACTCCTGCAAGGGCCGGCCAAATAGCTCAGAGAACTAACGCCAGCCTAGGCAGAGCTCAGTGGCCAGGGTTCTACCTCCCATGAGTCCTGCTGGTTTCGCCCCCGGGGCGCGCTGAGACAGCAATTGAGACTGGGCACAGTAGCAAGTGCCTGTAATCCTGTAATCCCAGAGTTTGGAAGGCTGAAAACAGGAGAATCACTATGAGTCAGATCGATGTAGTGTGGCCCTGTAGGCCCTGTAGACCCTGTACTAAATACATTTTTAAAAATAAATAAATAACTCCTGCAAATCACTTAAAAGAGTCATATACAAATTTTCAACCAGTTTCCTTCAATTACTATAAAACAAAATCCTGAATGCATTCAGCAGTTAAATTCTAAATTTGAGATACAGTAGATTATCTCTCACATTCAGAAACACGAGTAGATACTATATCTTAATGCCCTTTACCTTTATCTTTCTTCTTGGAAGCTTCTTCAGGAGACAACCTGGATTTTCCATATGATGACTCCTCATAGCCTTTTTTGGTTTTGGCCTTTCTTTTGCCAGACTTGATTTCTTTTCTCCTTTATATTAAAAAAAAATATATATGAAATTAAGGCTATCTTTTCAACAGATCTTGCAAAAAATAAAAACTGGTGAAGAAAAAAATGAGTCAATTAAAGCATTTTTTAATGTAACTTATATAATAAGGAACCTTAACTAAGTCTGTTAAGACAATTTTGGAAGACAGTGAAACCTAAAATAAGAGACAAATAACTTTTTATAAGTTCTATGTAGGCCCTTAATAGATATAAATCAGCTTTACTCAATCCTTCCTTTCTATGATCACTTAGCCACTGTTTAAAAATTTTTAAAAATCTAAAAAAAAAAAAAATCCCATTTTTCTTCATATAATTCATATCCAAGTACACAGTGAAAAATCATGAACAATAAAAAGTGTTATAGAAACTCCAAACCACTAGTACATAGGAAATTCTCTTCATACAGAAGTACAATGAAAGTACAATTGAATGAAGACAAAAGGTGTTTGATAACTCATAAATAAACTTTGGACCATTTATAATTTAACCTCTTACTACTGTAGTTTCATCTCTTCATGGCCAGTTTCACAAGCTGGTCAGTATAATAGTTGACAATTAAATTTAGGAAATAACGATACTGAAATTTGGGACACCTAAAGAGGATAGAAAGAGGATAGAATTACTTAAAAAGAATTGGGCTGGCCAAATAGCTCAGTTAAGGTGCCTGCAAGCAGGCGCAGGGGCCAGGGGTTCAATCCCTGGGGCTGCCATGCTGTACCCCCCCCCGCCGGGCATGCTGAGCCAGCAACTGAACTGGGCGTGGTGGCACATGCCTGTAATCCCAGCTCTCAGGAGGTTGTAAACAGGCAGATCACTGATCTAGTAGCGAGACCCTGAATACCCTGTAGACCCTTCCCTAAAATACAAAAAAAAAAGAAGAATTAACAGAACTTCCAGGGCTGGGGAGATAGCTCAGCAGAATAAGCACTTGCCTGGCAAACACAAGGTCCTGAGTTCAATCCCATGTACCACCAAAAAAAAGAACTTCCAATTCAAGATACCAAGACCAAATGTTCTAATACTATTTACAGAAGTAACCATTTTTGTCTCTTGCATCAAAATCATTTCAATTTGGAAAGAAACCTTAAATATTAAAGTCAAATTTCTACTTCTTTCAGTGTCACTGATAAAAATGGAAAATGAAGGTTTAAGCTATTCAAGTAATCTAAAAAAAAATTCTGCTAATTTTAAGATCTACCTACCTGCCTGCCTGCACCCTACCACTCAGCTACATCCTGAGCCCTTTCTTACATCTTCCAAAGGTCTTGCTAAATTGCCCAAGCTGACCTCAAATTCACAATCCTCTTTCCTCAGCCTCCTGAGTAGCTGGACAAGCATGCATCATCATGACAGCTTTAATATTTAACAGCAAAATACTAGATAGGCACACATAAAATTGATTTTAAAATGTTTATGAATACATTTTATCAAGTCACAGAATCTCACTGTTAAGATTTTCTATTGTTATTCAGGACACAAAACTTGACTGGTATATTTGCAAGTCATACCGACTTTACCTAAATATTATTAATGTGAGGGGATTAATATCTACCATATGAAAGGCATTTTACATACTTCAATTCCCTCTCCACTATTCCTTCAGCATGGCCATTTTTACAGATGACAGAACTGAGTCTGAGAGGTATAGGTGCTTGCCGAATTTCAAGACAGTGCCCTCGTCTGTGTTACAAACTACAGGCCATGGCCCTCTCACCCACTCAAAAAGTCAGACACAGTAGAGTTCATTCAGTATGAGCTTAACTTTAGCATCTGAAATGAGAATCAATCTCTGTAACAATGACAAACTCTGGATAAACATTGTTTAAATGAATTACAAGGCTCACTTTGAGGCTCACTTTACAACACAGTTTTTACAAACATTACCACGTCAGAACACTGGCTCCAAACTAAAAACTCTAACATATACCTACCATCACACTTAGCCCTTCACATTTAAACTGCTTTGCTAAGGCACAGGACATCACAATCTCTGATTTGAAATTATACTAGAAAGTTACTGTGACAGGGGCCTTGCCAGATAGCTCAGTTGTTTAAAGCGCCCCTTGAGCAAATGCAGTCAGGCGCATAGGACCGCAGTTTGATTCCCAGCTCCAGAAGCTGCACCAGACCCGTCCTTAAGGCAGCCTCGAGTAGCAAAAAAAAAAAAAACTTTTTCAGAAAGTTACTGAGATAAAAATAGCACGGTACTGGCCAAAACCAAAACTAGACTTGAGGATCATGGAAATAAGACTAAAAGATGCAGAAACAACTCCAAACACACTCAGCTACCTTATCTTTGATCAAAGGAACCAAACACCTTCACTGGAAGAAAGGTAACCTATTTCATAAATGGTCCTAGGAAAACTGGCTTTCCACATGTTGAAGACTAAAACTAGACACTTATCTTGCACCATGCACTAAACTGAAATTGAAATGGAGCAAAGACTTAAATATTAAAACAGAAATACAATGTCTACTGGAAGATAGAACAGGTACAACTTTTTTATTTTAAAGACAATAATAAAAAAAAATTTGAGGGGTTGGGGAGATGGCTCAGTAGAATAAGTACTTTCCTGGCAAGCACAAGGGCCTGAGTTTAATCCCCCGGTTCCGCAAAAAAAAAAAAAAAAATTTGTGGTACAGGAAAGACTTTCTGAACAAAACCCCAATCCCACAGGAAATATCACAAAGAATCAGTAACTGGGATCTCATCTTACTTAAAAGCTTCTGCACAGCAAGAGAAACTACCAACAGAGTGAACAGACAAATTGTTGGGGAAAAACGCTTGTCAGCTGTTTCTCAGAGAAAGGACTGCTGTCTAGAATACATAAAGAACTCAAAAAACACAGACACCTCAGATTTAAAGACCTGATCCAAAACGGCCATGCGAAGTGAATTCCCAGATGAAGAGACACAAACAGCAAATACATATATGAAAAATATTCAACATCACTGGCCATTTGAGACAATAAAAAAAAATGGAGATTCCATCTCACTCCAGAAAGATTATCTATTATCAAGAAATCGACCAATAAAAAATGACAGTAGGGCTGTGGGGGGAAAAAGGCCCTTTTCCCTGTTGCTGGGAGTGCAGGCCAGTACAAGCACTGGAAGAGGTGCAGAGATCAGTGCAGAGATTCCTAAAAAACTAGGACTAAATGTTCCACTCCACTCGCGACTGCCCGCTCAGCGCCTCCCTGCGAGAACGAGGCTTCGCGGCACTGCGGCCCGCACACGCCCGTGCCTGCAGTGCCCAGTTGGCACTGGCTAAACCTGGGAAGCAGCCACACGCCCTCCCCTGAGCACTGCAGGAAGACCTGGCT